AATATCATTCAATAAGTGAATTGAATTATTGTTATTATTAATGTGGTACAATTATATATTTAGTTTTGTTTGTTTTTATATTTGTAATGTTTTACTTCATTATTATTGCAATGAATTTAATTATTCATCATATTTTATCCTGTACTCTGGTTTAGTGCTTGGCTGTTGTTGAGCACTTATATATAAATGAATTGATTTGAATTTGTGTCCTTTAATTTTTTATGAGAACCGAATGTTTAATTCAAAATAACGAATTGGGTTGTTGATCGTGGGAGACTTTCAGTGTATTAACTATCTACCATTAGGATTTGAGGGTTATTTCAGAATAAACTGTGATCCTATGGGTCATTCTGCTATAACTATATCACTTTAACAATTGTCCAGTTGTTTACTTTTGCCACAGGAACCAAGCCATCGTCCATTCAAGGGTCGACAAAGTAACACAGTGGTCTTATATACATGCAAAAGAGACATCATGATACATCCATGTTTCACCATTGCTGTAATATGCTGTTAAATATAATCAGAATATAAATAATTGTAATTGCATGACAATAAATATGATGCATAACTTCAATATAAATTATGAAAATCAACCTGCTAGATGAACACTTGCCTGCAAAATGGCTTGACAATCTCACTAGTTGCTAAGTAGAAGGTGAGCCCGAATGTGATAGAAATGCTTTCTTAAAAATGTCTATTAACAGCAATGTGAGGCACAGACCCTGCATGATTCAAGAAACTCCTAGATTTATTTCCTCTATTTGTTTAATGACACTTTATCATCTATGAGCTGGCAATGGGAAGGTAAACTGCCATCCCCAAACAAATGTCTAAGTGCACCATTGCTCCAAATTCATCTACCACTGCCCCAATACGCATACAGTAGCCCTGACTATTATCATACCCTCCAAACTAAGTTAGGGGCTTAACCAGCGCTTGGCTGGTCTTGGAGTTAAGATAGTTTACAGTTATAATGATCATTATTTCATCACAACTGATTGCCATCTGACCTCTTCTCTTATATCAGTAGCTATAATGGTACCAGCCTTTAACACTTTTAATAAGGATGGTAACAAAGCAGGAGAGAGTAGTATTCCAGTCACCATAGGATGATGCCTAGCCAACCAGAAAATGAAGTCTCCTAGACCAAGTTTCACGCCACCTGCAAAAATGCACAGTGTAACTAATTCCCTAATTTGTTTGAATATGACTATTTTACTAAAAATAATGTTTACTGCATTTCTGTGTTCGATCCCAGCTTCACAAGAATATCCATCTGACTACCGTACCTTTCAAAGAGCATTATGTGAATTTTTTTTTTTAAATATCCCAATGTTTTAAGGTAACTCAAATCTTTATATTCAGGAGTGACTATAATTATTATAATTCACAAATAATTATACTCATATTGACTAAATTCAAAACTGCAGGCTTTGAATTATATAATCTCAGGCCTTAGAACAACTTGCATGATTCATGTATGCTCAACAATCAACAAGGGTCTCTCAAACATGTCAAAATTAGCAGGCTCATGTCTCTGAAAATACCTAAATGACTAAACCTCCTATATTAAATATTTATATATAAATATATATTTGTATATTGAGGTTTTCATGGCAGTGAGTCTGAAGATTGCTGTCTTCTGGGTTGTTGCGCCATGTAGATGATCGCCCTAATGATGGAGGCAGCATGGACCTCTGAAACGGTGGACATCGACCAGACTACACAGCGCAACAACCCAGAAGACAGACATCTTCATACTCTGATGACGGAGGCAGTATGACCTCTGAAACGTTGGTTAACATCGACCAGACTACACAGCGCAACAACCCAGAAGACAGCAATCTTCAAATATATATTTAAAATAAAATGGACCATACTGCTACACAGTTGTATAAAATTTCACAACAATTTTCTGCATTCTACCACGAGTATAATTTGTTCCTTCCTTACAAATTAAAAATATCAGCCATCTTATATACTACATTATTTCAATGTCTTTATCATTCATATTACAAAAACTTATCTAAAAGCTCCCTAATAGTAGCAACATTTGTAAATAAAATACTTTGCCACATAGCAGACAGACAACTTTTAAACATCTATGAGTGCTACAAAACATCAAATCAGTATTTACATAATAAAAGAGTACTAGAAGCAATACATTTCTGACCTTTCTTAGATATTAATCGCAGATCCTATCTTTTTTTTAAAGTGGTGCATGTATCTACATACATTATCTGAGGCCTTGAGCAGAATTGAATCACACGTTCTTCCACTTCCACCTGTTGTTCATGTCCTTGCTGCTGTGGGAATGTTCTGTAATCTGAGACATGTCCACTAGATGCTTCCCTAACTTCCCCTTGCCTGCGGGCTGCATTTGCCTCGTGGTTTGAAACCCATTCACGAGAGAACCCGCTTTCTGAATCTGCGTCCGCATCAGGGATGGGGAAGGCAGGAGCATCCAGCAGTAGTAGTATTAGAGGTAGCAGCAGCACAAGTGGTATGACTAGCAGATTCTTGTTCATCATCACCAGCAATGCTTACATAACTGTACATGTATGTTGCTAGAATACAGAAAAACCCTCTGCCCCCGTCGGGGATCGAATCCCGGTCGTCCAGCCCGTAGCCAGTCACTATACTGACTGAGCTATCCCGGCTCATAATCATGAATGGTAGTAAGGTAAAATACATAATGACATGTTATATTTTAAAGTGCTGTATGTACCACCCAGATGGCAACTTCCACAACCAGCCAAAGTAATTAGCTAGCAATTTACTTAATATCTGTGAAGACTATGAAAGATATCACAATGGATATTAGGAAAACAGGAGTCGGAGGTGTGGACTGGATTCATCTGGCTCAGAAGAGGGACCAGTGGTGGGCACTTGTGAACATGGCAATGAAGCTTCAGCTTCATTTCTTGAATAGCTGAGTGTACTATGAACTTATCAAGGATGACTGCTCCATGGAGGTGGTTAGTTCAGAGGGCTGTTGAAAATTTAATCTTGTTCTAGCATTTACTGCATGGAACTAAACTTAAAATTACACAGTCACAGTCGTAGGGGCAGAGTCTGAGTTAGGAATGAAGTACTACCACCACACAAAAATGCATACAGAATTTCTGGTTAGAAAACCTGAAAAGCAGCACCTGACTGACTGAATGTATCCCTGTACTCTGTGAAGATGGGAGGCAGATAAAACTAGCTTAGGTTTATGTAAAATAGTTGACTGCTAGAAAGTGTGCTGTAATTTTGCGTCCAGATATTAAATACTCCGTGGTGCAGCCATTCCTGAGATGTTGACAGTACATAACTCAAGAAAGTCAAGATATTTGCTATTTTGACGGAAAATGAAGATTGAGAACCATGCTCACAGTAGTCCACCACTGTACCAAATCCTCAGCCAATTCACACTGTTTCTCTGTGCAATCCAATCTAATGTTATCCTCTTATCTGTGCCTATGTCTTTCCATTGCACTCTTCTCTAAAAACTTTCAAATTAAAATTTTGTACACTCCTATCATCTTTCCTGTGAGTGCTATATGGTCCTAACATCTCATTCCCTTGATTTAATTGCTATAACATCATCAGGATAAGCGTACAAATCATAAATCTCATTCTGTATGATTTTCCTGTTACTATTTTCTTTGTTCCAAATATCACCTTTAGGACCATGTTCTGAAACAAGCTTAATGGGTAAGTTATCTCAAATATATAACTTGTGGCAGTGGTCACTTGTATTTAATGCAATACACTGCATTTTGAGTGGCAACTCATTATACAGCCACCAAGTATTTGATGTAATTTGTAATGTTATATTACCCCAAACAGAGATGACTCCTAGTACAACCCAAGTGGTCCATTCAAACAATGGTAAGGTTGTGAAACAATACCACACCCCACGTCAGGAGTCCTGGACGCTCGTCTGGGACTTCTAAAATACCAGCTCTCTTGAAGGCACTTCAACTCGCATGTGGATGTCGGCTATCAGAGTTATGCCCTCGCTTTTACTGCAGGAGTGTGGATAATCTAATCACATTGTGGGATAATTATCTTAATATGCATGGCATAACGTTAAAAAACAGTACAAATATGTTCCTTGATTCCTGTGTAATACATGGTTTTGAAGAAAAATTAGTTGCGTAAGTTGAAACAAACAAATTCCTTGGCTTACAAGTCGACAATGACTTAAATTGGAAGAAACATTGAGATATTATTCCCAAATTAAGCTCTGCATGCTTTACCATGAGAACAGTCTTACCACTCATGACAATAGATACTTTAAAGCTAATTACTTTACTTTTACTTCCACTCTGTATTGTCATATGGATTAATCTTTTGGGGAAATTCAACAGACAGTAAAGTTTTTTACATGCAAAAGAAAATAATTAGAATAATGGCAGGTGTCAAAAGCACGGTTTCTTGTAGAAAATTATTTCGTAAATTTAATATACTTCCACTTGCAAGTGAATTTATACTCTGCTTGCTATCATCTGTGGTGGAAAAATTGGATAAATTTAAAAGAAATACGGATGTGCATAATTTAAATACAAGACGTAAACATGATCTATATGTGCCAAATGCTAACTTTACTAAATGTAAAAAAGGAGTGTACTACACAGGTATCAAGTTATTTAATAATCTTCCACCAACAATTAAAAGTTTAAATTATGATATAAAGGTATTCAAGCCTGCATTGAAAAATTACCTCTTCACTCTCTCTTTCTATTCTGTAGATGATTTCATCTCTGCTGAAAATTTTTAAGCTTTATATGTATCTATAATCTGTATGTAAAGCAAGTTTTGTGTTTCTATTTAAAATTCTGAGGTTTATGTATATTGTATGAAATGATATGATCTACATCCTTTGGGTGAGTCCTAAGAAGGATCTATGGAATGTAAATAAACTCTACTGTACAGCCTTAATTTTCTTGCATAAGATAAATTGTTATTGACAAACATTTTTAGATGAATGCAGATAAATCTTAAGATTGGAGGTGTGTTTAAAGAGAGAACAGTCGGGTTACTGGTTTTTAAGATTATCATCATAGTGAACAGTAACAATTATAATTTTCACTTGCCCCTAGCATCTCCAATACTACACTGAGGATAACTTCAATATTTAACAAATTGAGCTGCAAAGTTTCAAAAGAAGGGAATTTCTATCTGTAAGACGTCTCTGTCTGAATGTATCGGCTGCTAAAGACCGGTGCCTCACCTTTTCAAATATGACGTCGGTGACACCCTTCAGGCGATCGCTGCTGTCAATTGGCAGAGCCTGGACCTGGGAAACAAGTCTGTCAAACTTCTAAGGCGTGCGTTTGTTGAGCACACTGCGAACCTTCTGGAACAGCTCCTGCAACATCGAGTTTGCTGTCATCATCTGACAGAACACAGACACAGAAATGAAGCGAAACACGTTTTACTTCCTTAAAGCCTTCATAGAGATGATTAAAACCTAGAGCCATTTGCTCTGCATGCGCCGTCCAGCTGCTTTTTGTCTGCACAGAAGAAGTCTGTTGTTATGAGAAGCCAATGTCTATTGAAAAATATTATTACAATGCATTCTCATTCTATGCAATTAAACACCTGGAAAGGTAAACATTTCTTTTAAAATCAAACAGCAAACAAAAGAAAGTTTATTTTACATTACTTCAATTTCTGAGTATATTATTTTGTACTAAAACAGTATATTTACCTTACTATCATTTTCCACTCGATTCACAAAAAGAATATATTTATCCTGGTTTAATAATTTTTCAAAATGAATTACTTTGAAAGTGATAGTGAATGCATTTGGGGAACCAAAGGGGTAATATGTGGTCTCGAGGGTACATATCCTGCTGACAGATACGTACTATTAAAAACTCGGGGGAAATGTCATTCATTCCTACAAAGTCCGATGCGTGCATGTTCCAAGTCAGGACTCCTGGGGCAATATTTTTGTGACTAAGTCTTGCAAGGGGAAACAAGTGAGTTTCTGACGCTTTCAAATTGGGACCAGCCCTGACAGAAAATCATCAGGACTGCTGACGGTTGGGCGTGAGACTGACGATCTTACTCTGTAAAAAAGGATTTGTTTCAAAACTTCTAGCTAAGCCTCGGAGGTGAAAGATTGAAGAGGCCAGGGTTCAACTTTGAACTGTAGCGCCAAGAAGAAGTGAATGCATTTGAGCAAAAGTGGAATTTATATGGTGTGTTGGTATGGAACAAAAATGGCATCTACATAATGATGGCAGTGATGATGTACCTCTGAAATGTTTTAACTTTCACCAGAACCATCGCTGCCATGAGAACCTCCACGCCTCTAAGTTGTTTAGATAGCTAAGTGGGTAATTTACTATTATTTACTCAGGATGTGACAATATATGATTTGAAACATACAGAGTGCAGTTACAATTGACAATGCAGGAGTTACGTAGCTGGAAAATATAGTTTTGGTATGTCATGTTTGTTCAGATTTCTATTAGATTAATTGCAAATCAAAATGCACATGCCACATGAAGCAAAGAATGCTAACACATATCACATCGTCCTTTTCACATGACTGGTCAGTAGTTGGAGAAAGGATATTCAACCCACCGTTGAAAATCAGTTGGTTGCAGGGGGAAAAGAAAAACAGTTGAATAATGCTAGACAAACAGATCCAAAGAGTAGAACCAACAGAAAAGTGGAGGAAAACATGTTGTTCTTGAAAACTTATTTGTATACTTGTCAAGGAAAGAAAAATACATTTATAATATATACTGATAATTTTAAAAGAAATTTTGGTTGTCCCTAGAAATTCATAAGATGCTACGTATTTCACTTTGACGTACTGAATTTCAAATTCGCCTCCGGCGCTGTGTGCAATATAGAATTCTGTTGTAAGATGGCGCTCATAACATGGCGCGACTTATTCTGCCATCTACAGAAAGATACGTGAACTGTGTAGTAGTAATGTTGTATCAGTCTGTGGCGGATTCTCATGGCAGATTTTCGAAGTTCGCAATAGTATGCAGAGACTGTCGATGGTTGTGTTAGCTGTAACAAGGTAACTTTTTCTCACCTTTTAATTATTCTCACTCTAAAAAGGGATTATTTCCTTAAAGAACAAAAACAAGTTGATCTTTTCAAGAGTGAAGAAGACTTGTATTGTTTGCGGTACGGGTCGAATTCTTAAATATTATTTGGACGAGCTTCAGCCTACATAGTATTTTGTAATCCGAAACATAACCTCTAAACACACTATTTCAATTTCCCCACCTCTTACACAAACTTAGCTAAAGTTGAGAATTTTGTAGATTTCATTACAGGGCATTACTGTAGGTATCCCGAAGGGTCCATTATGTAGGTGGTGACATCCACCAATCGCCTACGCTATACTGACCATGACCAAGGGACAAGAGGACAATTTGGTAATAACAATACATGTAGCCCTCGATTTGCGCCGATTCAGAATTACGCCGATTTTGAAACCAGAAAGTCAAAAAGTGAAAAAAACATATATTTTACTATTATTTATAAAATTTTGCAATGTTTCTCGTGCTGATTCTTATACTAAATCGTAATTCTTACATCGCTTATTTTGAATAAAAATTATAAATACAGTCAACTCTGCAATTACGTAAGTTTCGTTAACGCGAATTTGCTCCAATGAGATCCTGGAGCTTTAAACTTTCTATTGTAAGTGTATAAAATATTTTGTTTTTAAATTCCCTTTATTTTATTTACGTTATTTCAGAGCTTTAAATGTAATGTCATCATATTACTCGTCAATATTTGGGTGCTGGGAACGCGTGTCATTGAATTCCCATTTGATTTACATTATAAAAGAGTTACAATTTACGCCGATCCCGTTTACGCCGGTTCGTCCAGGAACACGTCCCCGGCGTAAATCGAGGGCTACCTGTAATAGGGTTACGAGGGGTAACAAATTGTATAAAAGATTTTTTGATGAGTGGAGTCTTAAGATAAATATGCCTACAAGACCATATTTATAATATAATAATAATATATAATAATATTATTTAAGAAGAGAGGGAAATTGAGGGGACGTTAATTGATCGGAGAGGAGATACAGGTACCTGGGCGTGGTATTGGATAGATGGTCAAATGGGAGACAGAGAGAAATGTTAGTAATTAGGAGGAAATCAGTCGTAGTTTTAGAGAAATTGAACTAATTATGACAGGGGTGGAAATTCGGGGGATGACGTTGGCTGGAAAGAAATATGGAAGTCCATGAGTTATTTTGCAAAAGAGTAATGTGGATGCCACGGAGTGTGTGCGAGATATCTGGGGAGAACAAATAGAAAGTAGAAAGTAGCAGAGAGAGTGCTTGGATACTGGCAACGATTGTGGGAAATAAGCTTGTTGGGCGATGTATTAAAACGACAAAGTTTAGAGAAAGGTTAAATGAAATAAAACAGGAATTGGAAAGACTGGGTATGGGGCATGTGTGGAGAAATGGAAAAGAGAATGATATAAAGGCATTTAAAGAATTAAAAAAACGTGTGTGGATACAGAAAACGGAAACAAATATGTGAGAAAAAGAATAACTGGTATTTTAGGACGAATTGAAGAATGGATGCGAAAAGTAATACACAGGAGTGTGTACCGAGGAGGCTAAAAAGAGATATAAGATGGTCGAAAGTGGGTGTCTTGAAATTGACAGGTGTTTGAGGAAATATAGGAAAGGTATGTTCACTTACAAGAACTAACTTCTAAAACAGGGCTCTTACCAGTTCTCTGTTGTCGTTCGTAAACGCTGTTTTGATCGCGATAAAATTCTCTCTGTGACACAGTATTTGTTGTCATGCGTTGCGTTCTTGACAGCTACCGGACTCCGCGTAGAGAATTCTTCCTTGAATGGGCGTATGTCCCACTACAGTGGACTATTTATTTATTAAAACAAACTTCGAACTCATACAGAACTTGTAGTGACCTCCGTCGACGAAGGAACAGGGCAGAAGAGAGGCCATGACTGCCGTACCAACATTATACACCGAACAGAAGCCAAGGTTACGGTCTTACCAACATGAAAACATCGATCATTAGCTAAGGTTACAGTCCTGCCAACATGAACACAGAACAAGCCTCGTAATCGTAGCAATCCTTTTAGTGTGATGTTAGTGCGAACTAGACTCCGTTGTATTTATGTGGCAGTGTAGCCTAGCGAGCGCGGGGTGAACAGCACGCTGACGAAACTCGAATGTGGTGTTGTGGATGGTTACCAGAATCTCGGAGGAATGTGTCACCCCTACTTATGCGACTAAGTAAAAATATTTTGGATAAATTTGTTCTCATTTTATATCCATTTACATTTAGTACGAAAGACTGTATTCTACTTGTGACGTGTTACGAATGAATGAATGAATTTAATGACTATAATTTATTTTGGAGTACAAATAACATTTTAAAAATGCTGATTATTGTCATAATTGAAATATTTAATGCTTTTAATTTCATATTTTCATTCCAGTAGTTTTACCTAAATTTCAGCCTGAAACAAATTACCCGAAAACTTAATTATCCCCGTAACGCCTACATAGTTAAAGACAAGAGAATTAAAATTCTCATCCGTAAATATTAATATAAATTTCGCACTAAAATACGTACAATACTTCGACATGAATGCGTAATTATGAAGTGTATCTTAAAAGTACCCGTAGTTGCAATTGTACAATAATTATGAAAATTAGCATAAACATTACACATATCGACTACTGCGTTTAAAAACTAATTTGCTATTTTCGCTTATTTAATAATCCGAAAAGGACAACGTTACGACCCACTGGCGTGAACCGCGGTGTAAACTGTATCAACAGTCACTCTAATAAATATCCATATCTCCATTTTAGGAGAAAAGTGGCGCCTGTGCCCTTATTAACAGATTCAATACGAGTTATAAATAGGGCTCGGGTAGATCGATCAGTGCGAAAGAAAGTTGACTGCGAGTGGTCGATCTTCGATACCAGGAGTACCAATGTTTACCCTAGAGAGGTAAAATACCTTCATGCCCTAAGCACCTTATTTATTATTTATTTAGTGTTCTGTCTGAGGACAGGTCCATATGAACAGGATCCTTCCATCCTTTTCTCGGACTGGGACCTGTTCATATACGTTCTTGGCAGATGATCCAGAAGTGGTTTGCCATTGCCTTCGTCTGTGTGTGAATGGAGTAATTGTTGGGATGCCACGGAGGAAAACTCCGTGTTGCCTAGACCACGGCCTTGCCCAACACAAGTTATAAATTCGGGCACCGCCGGGAATCGAACCCGAGACCCCAGGATTACAAGGCCAGCGTCATATGAATAGTGGACTCTGTCTCAGTAATGCGTTTATTCGACTGCTAAACTTAATACGGCGATGGTTTTCATGTTTTGTTTATTTAGCGACACTTTTTAAATGCGTAGGTTATATAACGTTGAATAGTAGAAATGTCTGAGAAAGATTAATCTGAAAGAAACATCGGAAGGGACTGAGGAAAATTACAAAGAAAACTTCATCGGAATAGAAGATCTCAGGGTCGAATCAGGGACCTACCGAATACAAAGTAAGAATGCTAGTCGCTACACCATGATGCTCAGCACAAACGTATGAAATTTAAGTCATAAACTGCTTGTCCTGTGTCGAATTTTGAAGGTTTCTGGTGAAGGTAGACCCATTGTGAAAATTTCTATTTTTCGTACTCGATCCATCTTCAGGATGTTATTGAAACCAAGATGCATTAAGAGTTGGTCCACTCCAGTCTTCAGGTGGAAGAACGACAGAAACCCATTATATTGACCAGCATGTAAGATTTGAAACTACGTAGACCAGGTTGCCAACTCACTCACTCTACGGCGCAGGGAATTCTTTGAAAAATTGATTGTACACTCTGCTTATCAAATTATAGCCCACTTTCTTTATGAAACCCGAAGGTTCATTACCGTGTTCACAAAAGCCCGCCACCGGACCCTGTCCTGAGCTAGTTCCATCGATTCCTGTCTCCCTAAGGTCCATCTTAACATTCTTTATCTTTCTTTCATTGTCCAAATAGGCCTGTCCTTAGAACGATGACCAAGAAAGGATATGGACTGGACTTGAAGTAAGCACTGGGCCTCTGACGTTTTAGTTGGAAAACTGGAAGGAGACCTGGGAATAGATGGATCTGTAACTTAAAATTGATCTTGGATGTGTAGGGTGTGAGGCTGTTGACTGGAGGACACTGCCCAGTGTCGGGCTTTTGTGTACACGGTAATGAATCTTCGGTATCCATAAAAATCGACATATTTCTTCAACATCTAAGCACTAATAAATTTCCAAGTGCCTTTCTTGTGCAGTTATTTATTTAAAAACATTAATATTCTTTCTAGGAGGCCCCATAATTATGTAAATAAATGCAGAGATCAAAAATATAATCCAGTATTACAAACTACTTTATATAAATAACCCAAACGACTTGTAAGACTACTTAATATGGCTCCAGTTGATCATTGTATTTTGACAGGAAACACATGAATAATGAAGATTATTTTATTATTGTAAACACTTCTACAGCAGTCTGCCACTGTACCCTATCCAGAGCCAGACAAGTCACTTTCCCAATCCAATATTCTATATCTTTAAGATCCATTTTAATATTATCAGAATTTAATTTACCCTTAATTTGTCGATTCAGGTTTTGTGGGTTGAGACGTCTTGTGGATATGTGAGAGAATAACAAAGTTTTAGAAAAGCATACCATCTCCATTTTGAGAATCGAGAGAGTTTGCTCCGCCGAAACGTATCTACTTGCAATCCTTCAATATCGACATATTCACCGCCATAGAAACCTGAAAAATCACACGCCCTTAATTTATTTATGAATGCAATTTTAGTTTCTTACTGTTTTTAAAGTATTTGAACTTTTCCATGTTTTGGAAGAATTTATAAGCTACGTTGGTGTTACGATTATATCCTGCGTCCTGGTAACGAGATATGAATTTCCAGTCCCTGTTTAGTTTATCGAAACAGAGCTCCACACATAATCCCATTTTGCTCTCACGTGTTATACGGGAACGCCTCGGACAATACCAAAACCTAATCAAGCAGAAGGCGTATCACAACGATTATATGCCGGGTACTGCAGAACTGAGTGCGTCACTAATCATCTCGTTAAACACTAGATTTTACGTCATGCACCAACTGCTTCAAATAAACGAACGACGAGAAAGATTCATTTGTCATTACCATACCACAACATCCACATGTCACGTTTCATTCTTTCTGAACCGTCATAAGATATGTAGCAGATGGCATACATTTCTTGGGAAAAGTGTTACTGGGAATCATAGTTTTTCGTATAGCATTTTCAGACTAATTTTTCGTGATGGTCTTTTTTGGGGGGGGGGGGGGATTTTGGCACCATGTACATGCTAGCGTTTCCATCTTCAGCGTTTCAGGGTTGTCAGACAGTCCACTATTTTGAAGATTTCTGTCTTCTGGGTTGTTGCGTCGTGTAGTCTGGTCGATGTTAACCAACGTTTCAGAGGTCATACTGCCTCCATCATCAGGGCGATGATACAGTCCACTATTTTGCTCATCGTCCTCACACAGACGCAGTTCGTTTCGTACTTTTTGCCTACAGGCGACGTATTTCAGGAGAAAAATCTCCAAATGACCCTAATCGTGCTACTTCCATCTCGAACCTCCTCACTCTAAGCACATTAAGCGACCTTCAAAAACATTTTTGGTGAGTACTGTAGCTTACCGTGTTAAGTAAATATCGTACACTAATTTATTTAAAAGCATTATTTTATATAATATTAATCCTCCTGCTTTAACACTCACTAACTCTGCATTTCTTATTTGTGGGCTTTGTATGATTTTCAGAATAAGCAGTGATTATTTCCCTAAACAGCTTTAAAAGATTTATCTTCGTAATGTTATGTTTTCTTTGAGGTAGAAAAGAAATTTATATTTCTAATAGCTCTACTACGTACCTGTAGCTACATTTAATTTGCCTTCACCGACAAAGACCCAAACCACCGCGTTTGTAGCCCCAACATTCGTTTTTAGCACTGAGTAGATGGAACATGAACGGAAAGGTGTAATTAGTGTAGAAATACTTACAGTCTCCACACACGTATTTTTCACTTTTACTTTCTAAATTCTGCTAACTGGAATAGAAAGTAAGCCTAAATGGCAAGTGGTCCTTCTTCGCAAGAGTTACCGTAAATGTTTACGAGCACAACGAAAGATCACAGACGACGTAATGACATAAGCACATGTTTCTAATGAAAGATACAGGCCTGTGAGACGTATTCATGAAATCGTACATAGCAAGTCCTCTTATTCACTAAATAAACTGCAAGAAATTTCAATCCAATTCCAATGTGTAATCTACACTAATATTAATGAAAGCGCATGAATATACATTGTAAATGTTGTTTTCTTCCTTCTCTACTGATTAATGTTGCTGTCGGAAACTAGCTGTCGAGAGAACAGCATGCTTGCAGACAGAGGGGTCTCTACTTTGTTTCAGTAAATTAAATGCAATTTTTAAACTTGTTAATTTTAAGGAAAAAGTAACTTATAAGACAAAGCGCTTATTTTATTTCTTAAATCTGATTTCTAACTTTAAATATTAAGAGTCTTTGATGTTTTCTAAGAAATGAAAATCTGTAACTCTACAATCCACTGCATTTATTTCTGCGCTAGTGTTTTATATTCGTGTGAAGATTGTCGAATCCGACGAAGAGTAACATAGTTCTACATATCTGGAAGATATTTCACGTGGCATTATTTCAGGGTCCTGCATTATGTGGTGTAAGTATGGATGCGACCTCACAAGGTTATGCGTCCGTCTCCATGTCAGTGTTACTGACTGTAGTAAATTGAAAAGGTACAAGTCTCGGGTAGTCTAAATTTGCCTAACGTTCAAAATCCGTCCTGTTGTTCTCGAGTTAAAACATGCAAACAGACAGATCCGATTAGACCTACAGCTTTCCTTTCGTTCTTATCTCGTATAGAACGCCAGAAAATCGTTTTCGACAAAACAGTACGCAGGATTTATACTGGCGGAAGCATCTGTATTAATATTTCAGCACTATATTAACAATCACAAAATGGCAAAAGTGGA